GGCCGCGGGCAGCGCCAGCAGCGTGAGCAGCAGCAGCAGCAGCGCCCGGCTGGGTCCGCAGTCCGCGGGAGCTCCCGCCGACGGGAGACGTTCCCCCAGCCGTCGATGGCGACCCCGGGAACCCCGCTCCGATTTCTCCTTCTCGAAATAGTATTTTTCTCTCTCAGAATCGTATTTCTCCATTCCCGATCAGATCGCCCGCCGCAGTCCGCTGCTCGCCTAACACCGGCTGATTCCAGGAGGGAGATGCGGCCGCGGGGGCGGACGGCAGGGAGGGCGGCGTCACGGGGGCGGGGCGGAGGGCGGGGCTGAGCGGAGGGGCGGGGCTGAGCTGGGGGCGGGGCGGGCTGAGCTGGAGGGCGTGGCTGAGCTGGGGGCGGGGCGGGCTGAGCGGAGGGCGGGGCGGAGGCCCCTCCTTGGCTGGTCCAGGTGGGGTGAGGGGGGGAGCCCCGAAGGGGCCGGGAAGGAGGAGGGGGCCCGGGGACACGCCTTGAGAGGGAGGAGGAAATGGGGAGGCGGCTGGGAGGGGCGGCCGCCCTGTGCAGCCCGACCTGCCAAGGCGCCCAGGCCACTTCAGCAGAGGGGAAACTGAGGCCCCGCGGGCCTCAAGGGAGAGAGTGGCCCCCCCTCCTGAGCTGTTACCGAGGTTTTTCCACTAAAGGCTGTTGCTCTTCCACTGGAGCCACAGCTCCATATCCGGCTTTTTTTTTTTCTATTGGAGATCAGAATCTCACAGACTTTCTTCCCCCGGCTGGCTTCGAACCGTGATCCTCAGATCTCAGCCACCTGAGTAGCTACGAGCCCCTCTCTCTCTGCCTCGCTGTCTGACCCTCCCCCTCCTCCTCCCCCTCCCCCCAGCTGGATGGATGCCCAGGATGAGGAACAACACTACCGCCTAGGGAAATTTGGGGGAGATTCTGAGAATTGGTGATGCTCATCCTAGGGGAGAGAAGGTGGATTTCAGCATGAAATCAGAGGTCAGTCTCAGAAACCTGGATTTTTCTAACATCTTCCTCCTACTGACTAATGTGAGAACTTGTGACCACAGCTCTATTCTTCCTCTCCTCTTCCTCCTCCCACCCCCCAACCTGGGGTTGCCCAGGGCTGCCTCACCTCCCAGGGTTTTTGTAGAGCTATCTCTTCCTGTGAGACACAAAAAAGTAGGAAGTGGTGCTGTGGCTCAAGTGGCACCAGCCTTGAGTGAAAAAAGGCCAAGGAGAGCCCAGGCCCTGAGTTCAAGCTCCAGCAACCGACCCCCCCACACACACACACAAAGAGAACAAATCATATTCTTCACAGATTTGTTTGCCATAGCCAAGATATGGAATCAACCCAGATGCCCTGCAGTGGAGGAATGTATCAAATAAATGTGGTTTATATACACAGTGAATTCTACACATCCATCAGAAAGAATGACACTGTACCACTCATAGGGATGTGGAAAGACTTAGAAAAAAAATATATTAAGCTTAGTAAACCAGACCCAAAGAAATATAGGTTGCATGGTCTCCCTAGAATGTGCCTATAAAGCTACAAGTAAACATACTGGATGAATTATACAGGTCTCCTGGCATTCACACAGCGAGATCAAAGGAAGATAATCTTAGGATCACAAAGGTGCAATAGCTCTGTGCATATGATCATATAAGGTAATATTTATTGAAATGAAGTCCAGGAAGTAGAAAGGAGCTGTATGTGTCTGTGTGTTTTTCTTGGTTGCTGCTTTAGCTTTCGTTTCCTTTGGACTGGTTTGTGCACTTATCTGTCTTTGGGAGAGTGAGGGTGAGTCCTGAAATGGAGAGACAAAGGGTAAACAAATGCAGTCAGTGGTACTCACTGGACACTATATTGAAAGTGAACTATAGGGGCTGGAAAGGTGGCTCAGTGTTTGAGTGTTTGCCTGGCATACATGAGGTCCTGGGTTCAATTCCTCAGAACCATATAAACAGAAAAACCCATATGTGGCATTGTGGCTCAAGTGGTAGAGCACTAGCCTTAGCTGAAGAGCTGAGGGACAGCGCCCAGGCCCAGAGTTCAAGCCCCATGACCTACCAAAAAAAAAAAAAATGTACTCTTTTCTTTTTTCTTTTTTTGCCACAACACCACTTCTGGGTTTTTCTGCTTATGTGGAGTTAAGAAATCAAACTCAGGGCCTCAAGCATGCAAGACAAGCACTCTACCACTGAGCCACCTTCCCAGCCTCAAGAAATGTACTCTTTACCTGCCTTATGTAACTTATGATGTAACTTATGATAACTCCTCTGTATATCATCTATACAATAACAAATGTAATAAATGAAAAATAACATTCTTAGTGTATAGGAATGGATACATGTGGATACAAACACAATCAGGTAACCAGACACAAAAATAAGTGGAAAATAATTTTTTAATGGGTTAAACCAGATACAGAGCAACTACAGAAAATAAGCCACAGAGCTGGGAAGGTGGCTCCGTGGTAGAGTGCTTGCATGAAGCCCTGGGTTCCATTCCTCAGTACCACATGAATAGAAAAAGCCAGTAGTGGTGCTGTGGCTCAAGTGGTAGAGTGCTAGTCTTGAGCAAAGGAGCTCAGGGACAGCACCCAGGCCCTGAGTTCAAGCCCTATGACCGACACCACCCCCCAATGTGTGTGTGTGTGTGTGTGTGTGTGTGTATTTAAAAAGGCCGTTTAGTGGGAAGAACTAATGTGAATGTAATGTATGTTGGGTTATCCCCTTAAGTGTATACCTGGAACACTGTTCTGAAAAATAAAGGGGAAAAATCTAGAAACTACATATTTGAACTCAGCACCTATGCCATAAAATTAACTCTGGTTCAGAATCTTGGTGCCTTTCTGTAGTCCCAGCACTCAGAAGGCAGGGAGTGAGTACTAAGTAGTTTGAACCTCTCTCTCTCTCTCTCTTTCTGTCTCTCTCTCTCTCTCTATCTCATGTACACAAACACACAATCAATTCAAGCCAGACACTAGTGGCTCAGTTGGGGCGGGGGGAGGCTGGGAAGGGATGTGAAGGGTAAACAAAGGAGGAGGCTGCAATGCTTGATAAGAAATGTACTCATTATCTTGCCCATGTAATTGTAACCCCTCTGTACAGTATGTTCACAAAAAATTTTAAAAAAGACACTAGTGGCTCATTTCTATAATCCTATCCACTCAAGAGGCTGAGATCTAAGGATCACAGTTCAAAGCCAGCTCAAGCAGGACAGTCCAAGAAGCTCTTATTTTCAATGAACTACCAAAAGAGCTAGAGGTGGCTCTATGGCTCAAATGGTAGAGAGCTAGCCTTGAGCAAAATAGCTCAGGGACAGCACCTAGTCCTGAGTTTAAACCAAGAACTGACCCACACAAAATCAACTCTAGCTCTTACATGTACTCATGTAAAAGAATATTTATTAGTACTACCATCTTAGCACTTTTCCTTTTGGAAAGAACACACCTTGCGGCTGGGAAGGTGGCTCAGTGGTAGAGTGCTTGCCTTGCATTCATGAGGCCCTGGGTTCGATTCCTCAGCACCACATTAGCAGAAAAAAAAGCCAAAAGTGGCACTGTGACTCAAGTGGTAGAGCACTAGCCTTGAGCTGAAGAGCTGAGGAACAGTGCCCAAGCCTAGAGTTCAGGCTCCACAACTGGCAAAAAAAGAAAGAAAGAAAGAACAAACCTTAAATCTCAGCTAATGAGATAAATCTGCTTTTCCCAATAAATTAAGAGAGGTGTTCACATGAGGAGCTTGCTGTAGGGGAGAAGGACTGAAGATGGTTGTTTTTATTACTTGGGCTTGAAAACAATATTTCAGCATGCCATTTTGCAGATTTCCATATGAGGGGATCTGAAATCTGTTCTGGACAGTACTTTTTGTTACAAGTGAGGATTTCCTAAAGATTAGGAAGATGGGTATGATAGAAAATGGAAAATGGAGGACAAGAAGAAAAGTAATCATTTCTAGAACCATTTTCATCAAAGGCTCGTGTTTGGGTAGGGATTTTTATTTGATATGTATGTCTGGTTGTCTTCCTTTTAGTGGATGTAGGCTATTTTGCTATAATGAATGATACGAGAAATTAAAACTGGTGGGCAAAGAAAAAGAGACACAAAGATTTCCATTTTGACCATTTAGATTATCCACAGAACTTGCATGCTTCTGAGTTTGCCTTCCCCCCTCCCCACTCCCCAGTCCTGGGGCTTTAATTCATCATCTGGGCGCTTTCCCTGAGCTTCTTTTGCTCAAGGCTAGCACTCTACCACTTAAGCTACAGCACCACTTCCAGCTCTTTCTGTGGTACTGAGGAATCAAACCCAGGGCTTCATGCATGCTAGGCAAGCACTCTACCACTGAGCCACATTCCCGGCCCCTGCCATTGGGCTTACAAGGAGCACATTGCTTCTTAGTGTTTAGATATAGGAAATAAATTGTTCTATCGCAATGAGTTTGGCAACTAGAATTTTCACCAGAGGGTGTTTTTTGATTTGTTTTGTTTTTACCTCTTGGTTTCCATTTCTTGGAAACTAGGATGGAATTTTTTCTAGATTTTATTTTTATTGTAAAGGTGATGTAGAGGGGTTTCAGTTAGGTTACAGTCAGATAATGAGTACATTTCTTTTTGAACAGTGTCACCTCTTCCCTCATTTTCTCCCAGTACCTCCCCCCATCTCCCTCCCCCTGCAAGTTATATAGTTCATTTTCAACATAGTATCTAGTGAATGCCACCACTGCACTGGTTCACCCTGTCCTAAAATTTCTGTGCTACCCCTTTCACTCCTCCAAACAGACGAACTGATATAGAATACATACATAAAAGACAAAAAGTAGAGCTGTGATCTCCAGTTTGAGAACAGGAAGTCTTGTAAGGTGTGTGGTCCCATCAGTCTTAGCTTTTCTCTTAGTTGTTTTTCTCTGCTTTCTGTTTCTGTTTGCATTCTACATATACTCTTAAGCCCAAGTTACAAGTAGCTCAAGAAAATCAGTATTTGTGCTTGCTGACTACATCCTAAGAAAAGACGTGTGCTGAAATGGAATCTAGAATATCAGATACAGAAGACAAAATGCAGCAATTGCAAAAAAAAAAAAAAAGTCACAGATTTGAGAAAAAAAAAAGCACTTCAATAATGCTAAAGGGAAATCCAATAACAAGCAGACAGTGCTAAGAAATTTTACCTTCATATAATTGGGGAGGATGAAGGCGAGGAATACCAGAATAAAGGAATGCAACACTTATTCAACACAACTATTGCTGAAAATTTCCCCGTTCTTAAAAGAGAA